AATATTTTGATGTGCACAGCTCAGGTTTATGCAACAAAGAGAACAGACACATGGCCAACCCCTAACCCCCAACAAAAATCTGCTGCAATAAGACTTTGCTGCTTTTACAACTGCTCGGGGCTTTGTACTATAAAAAGCAACAAGAGTCTTGTTGGGTTTTAAGCAGGAGCTGAGGTATCTGGAGAGAGTGCTTTTAAGATCCCACAGAGCTCCATGTCAGCAGCTTTCTCACGAGCCCAGAGTGTGCATCCGTGCAATGAGAGCACGTGTACCCCTGCACGTATACACTGGTGAGTGGGTTGGAGCCAAGAGTGTCGTTACTTGGACATAAAAATGTTCTCGGCGCCCCAGCATGCTGTAGATTGGGTTGCCGTTTGGAGGATGGCAAGGCCACTGCACGGTGCTAAAAAGCAGAGACCACTGCGTGATAGGGACCTAATTAAGTCTTCGATCCGGCTGGCTCCTCTGCCTCTCATTAGTGCCTCTGCTGCCAGGTCTGGCTGGCACTAAAACGAACAGAAGGGGCTGTTGGCTCAGCATTCTGTGGCCAGCCCGCGCAATGTGCCAGCCCGCCTCGTCGCGCCAGGCTGCCCTTCTCCTCTCGCCTGCCAATCACTGGGTTGAAAGTGAACCTGCTCATCAGAAGAACATTTGGCTGTGAAGCCGCAGAGGCATAAATCCATCAATCTGCAAGTCCAATGATTTGTTGCTTTTTCTTGTTCTCTTAAGTCGAAAGGAATGCAGGAGTCCAAACATGCAAGTGTATTTCCTATTCTATGGCTACTGTTACCAGATTGAGGTTGCAGTCCTATACGTGTCATCTGAACGTAAGTCCTGCTGAACTCAGTGGCATTTACCTCTAAGTAGACTTGCATAAGATTTGTACTGCTGGTTATTTCCAACCATCTGGGGGTTGGATCTTGTTCAATTGCATCCCACTGCCCTTGATGCTCCCCAGGTGGCTCTCAAGATTTTCTGCTGCCTGAGGCAAATGATCTGATCAAGATTGCCACCTGATCCCCAGTTTCACACATGGAACCTGGCTGGACTGGCAGTCAGCTTGAAGCAACACTGGTGATAAGACAATAGCTCTGTCACATTGGAGGTGATGCCAGTCAGGGCGTTTGGCATGCAGATGGCTTGGCTGTTCAGTAGCTTGCCACTGGGCTGCAAAACCCAGTACCTGAAGTAAATGGCCTATGAAATCTCCTCTCTGTCTTTAAGGTTGGACTGAAAGGTATTTTGTGGACCTGTTGGTGACTGTTAGGGTTAAAGTAGATTGAACCGAATGAGAGCATACAGTTAACCTGCCATTAAAAGCAGAGCTTGCTTAAAAGGAAAAGGCTATATTTTTGTTCCAATAAAAGCTTGTTGCCTGACCTACATTTGATAGATGAGGTTACTTTTGTTTTGCCTTTGGTCTGTCAGGAATTAGCAGACCTTTGCTTGCATGTCTAGTGTCTGAGACACTTAGCACTGAAAGATTTGCCTTGCCTGAAAAGATGCTGCTGTAAGAGGAAGAAATACACATTTGACATCATCTGTAATTTGACCCTAAACAGACCTGTAAGGAGAGCTGTCAGTGATGCTTGAAACCAAGACCTTTTGAGACCTGACAACAAGCACAGCCAGTAGCACTCTGGTGATTTGTTTCCTTGGGATCTGTGGTAGCCCAATAAGCCACAGGTGTTAGGAATAGATGGCTCAACTGGCTCACCTCTCCTTGCTAGAGAAGCACCAGAGGTTGAATAATATAGGTTTAGCAGGAAGTCAGACTCGACTGGAATAAAGCACACCTGGCTGTGCTCTCTCCAGGAACTCTTAGGGCATTGGGGTTTTCCCTACAAGAGGATGGCTCATGGATCTAGCAGAAAGGGTGTGCCTCACCTCCACATTTTGCTCAAGTCATGGGTGGAGATGGAATGTTCGTATACGAATGCCAACGTCTCAGAACCAGGTGGCCAGGAAGTCCAGTCTCACCTCCCTGAACCTACCCATTCACTTGTGGGTCGCAACACGGCACACACAGCCAGGTTTCTGCTCGTTGCGCCAATCTCAGGAGTAGCTCAGCTAGTGCTTCTCTGTCTTCCTCTGTTGCTGGCCATTCCAGCCAGAGGGTGGGAGGACAAGTCTCCTCACTCAACTGTTGAGTGGCCAGAAGTGCAGGGAAACAGAGAAGCATCAGCTGGGCTACGTCCAAGATCGGTGCGACAAGCAGGATGCTGGCTGCATGCACTGCACGGTGACCCATAAGTGGACAGGTAGGTTCAGGGAGGCGGAACTGGGTTTCCTGGCTACCTGGGTCCAGGATATTCATATCTGTATATGAATACAAATATCTCATATCTAGTGGTCTGCTCATGCCAATATGTTGCACAGGGAGAGTAATCCAACAAGTTGAGTGCTGTGATCTTCATCTTGTGTGTATCCTGTATAAATAAACCTTATACCACAGAAAAGCCATCCATCTCCAGTGAGTTCTTCTTTCTAAGAAACATGGAGAAGCTGAAATATCTCATTGTGTGGGAGTAAGATGTACATGTATAAAAAACCTCTCCTTTCTTGCTGTTGTCAGATTTTTCACAGCCAAAATCTAGATTGGAAACTCGTTGGGGGACAGTGATGTGTTTGTCTTGGTAAAGTTACACTTAGAAGCATCTTTATAGTAGGGTTGGAAATATGTTGTATCCAGGATTCTCTTGGGCTCCTAGCCCCCACTGACCATGGAGAGCACAGCCCAGTGTGAGGATGATGGGAAATACAAGCCAACAACACTGGTGGATCTGTGCATTCTCCATTCTTGTTCTATACCTTAGCACAGAGAATGGCAACATATTCAGTAAATGCAGAGGCAAGTTGTGCTCATGCTGGAGATGGGTGTTAATTTTGTAATCTAGATCCTGGTGGGATTTTGTGAGGATGGGCCAGGGAGAAAAACAGAACTATTGGTACTTGGCTCTTTGGCTTTTTCCTTCCAGTGAACAATTTAAATAATAACAATGTGCCTTCAAGTTGATTCTGGCTTATGGTGTCCCTTTTCAGGGTCTTGTGCTTATAGAGTATTCAGAAGGGGTTTATCTTGTCCTTCTTGTAGGGTTGCCCTGGGACTGTGCAGCTTGCCCAAGGCCACACAGGCTAGGTGAGAGGCACAGTCCTTCTTAGCTTATTGCGTGATCTTGGGCCAGTCACTATCTCTCAGCTGCCTCACCTATCTTATAGGGTTGTAAAAATAAAATGGCAGGCGGTGGAGAAACAATGCACACTGTCATACTGTCAAGGAAGTTAACATGCACTTCTCCCTTATACAACACTGGGGGTAGGGGCACTGGACCCAATGTACTCCAAAATCTGTGCATAATTCTTATGCCCCTAAAAATGTAATGACAAAGCATAAAGGGACTTGTTTCTTATTAGGTTGAAATATTTCGCTACTCACCCAAGTAGCTTCTTCAGTCTGAGGAGAGTTGGTAGGAGACCCCCCTGATATATCCTCCATGTTGGTTTCATTTGCCTCTGGTCTGAATAGGCTTGTTAGATGGAGCCTATTCAAACCATGGGGAAGTGAAACCAACATGGAGGATATATCAGGGGGGTCTCCTACCAACTCTCCTCAGACTGAAGAAGCTACTTGGGTGAGTAGCGAAATATTTCAACCTAATAAGAAACAAGTCCCTTTATGCTTTGTCATTACATTTTTAGGGGCATAAGAATTATGCACAGATTTTGGAGTACATTGGGTCCAGTGCCCCTACCCCCAGTGTTGTATAAGGGAGAAGTGTATGTTAACTTCCCTGAAAGTAGGACAGTGTGCATTGCTTCTCCACCGCCTGCCATTTTATTTTTACAACCCTATAAGATAGGTGAGGCAGCTGAGAGATAGTGACTGGCCCAAGATCACGCAATAAGCTAAGAAGGACTGTGCCTCTCACCTAGCCTGTGTGGCCTTGGGCAAGCTGCACAGTCCCAGGGCAACCCTACAAGAAGGACAAGATAAACCCCTTCTGAATACTCTATAAGCACAAAACCCTGAAAAGGGACACCATTAGCCAGAATCAACTTGAGGGCACATTGTTATTATTTAAATTGTTCACTGGAAGGAAAAAGACAAAGAGCCAAGTACCAATAGTTCTGTTTTTCTCCCAGTCTGTAACTCGAAAAGTCTGTAAGTCGAGCTGTCTGTAAGTCGAGAGTCCACTGTACTGTACTGGGTGTAAAGAGCCTTAAAAGTCTTTAGGCCCCCCCTGATCTGGATCCTGAATTAGAGATGTTGTGTTTGGGGGCAAGTAGACCACTTTGACCCCTTCAGTATTGAACCCATGGAGTAGTGGCTGGCCAGGAGCACAGTGTTTATTAAATATTGATTGGTATTTATTGAAAATAATCTCTGTATAACCAAAACCATGCAGTTTAGACCCATGCAATTCAAATATATATCACATTTCACAAATATATATCACATATTAAATGATGTTATCAGGAAATAATAATAATTGTGTGCTGTCAAGCCAATTCTGACTTATGGTGACCCTTTCCATGGTTTCCATGATTTATGTAAAGTAGGAGAGGACTCACCTTTTTCTGGGGACACTCTGGGACCCTGCAGCTTGTCCAAGGCCACTGGTGGGTTCCTTTTTTTGTTATGGAACAGAGTGGGGAATGAAACTGCCAACCTCTGGTTCTATAGCCAGAATTGTGTGCTGTCAAGCCAATTCTGACTTATGGTGACCCTTTCCATGGTTTCCATGATTTATGTAAAGTAGGAGAGGACTCACCTTTTTCTGGGGACACTCTGGGACCCTGCAGCTTGTCCAAGGCCACTGGTGGGTTCCTTTTTTTGTTATGGAACAGAGTGGGGAATGAAACTCCCAACCTCTGGTTTTATAGCCAAGTAGTTACCTAGCAAGCAGGAGAGGTAGAAGACTTCCATAGCTTTACTCCACCAAGAGGCATCAAAATAACAAAAACCTGTTTTACCCATTGGTGCATGTTTAACTGCATACCTTTTGCATGAGCTCCTCTTCTCACATGCCTGGGTCACTCTCCTTTCTGGAGTGTTTTCTATATGGTGGTGAGAGGGTATGAAAGCTTGTCCCCAAGATATGCAACTCAGGTAAACAGAAGTGTGGTGTATTGCGCAGTTGAAGTGAAACAGGAGTGAAAGAATCTAAGGACCTGCCTGGAAGAACAAAGGCCTGTTTAGCTCGGCCTTCTGTTTCTAGCAGTGGGCTGCCAGATGCCTGTGAAAACCCAAAATCAAGGAATGAAAGTGACTCCTTCCCTTTGTTTTCTGCCCCCAGCATCTGGCCTTGAGATGTAAATTATCTGTGTATCCATGGAGATAAGTCTCTGGTGATGTCACAATATCTTGAGGCAGTATGGGACAGGCTGAGGAGACCTAGTTTGAATCTTCTGATCAGCCCTGATGTTCACCAGGAGTGGGGAAAGTATGCCTTTTGATGTGGTTGGCCTCCAGCTCCCATTATCTCCATATACAGTAGCCAGTGGTCAAGGATGATGGCAGCTCTAGTCCAACAACACCTGGAAGGCCACTGCTTCAACTCTTTGTCTCAAGCATATCACACATACTCTCTCAATCTACCACGTGGGTTTTTCTCAAGATTAAAATGAAATCCTCAATATATGTTTTCCTGAGCTCTCCTGAGGAAGGCCAAAGGCACAAACAAAACTAACAGGTAATCAGTAAACATCATTTCATCTTAGATCCAGATTTTCAGCCGTGATTTGTAATAGAGGATATTTAAAAATTTAACTGGTTGACTTGAAAGTTATTTCATCTGCCACTCTATTCACATTAAACACATTTGTTAACTGAAACTGTTCAATGTTGTATTGCCTTGGCCATCCAGAATGGGAAGGCGGGGCATACCCATGCCAAAATTAATGAATAAATAAACATGAATCTGAAAGCATTCTTGATTCAGTCACTTAATAGTACAGTACATGCATTCAGCTTACACTAACCAGAACAGTTATTTGCAATACAAATGGCCCTGTTTCTCAGAGTGGAGAATACAATTCCATGATATAATAGCTTGTTGGCAAAAGAGAAAAAAACAACAACAAACAAAATATTGTAGCACTTTAACAGAAATAAATGTGTGTGTTGTGAATCAAAATCCACTTCTTCAAGCACGTGCAAACACATGTCCCTGACATTTATTCCATAGTGGTGAGAGACATGTCCTGGTGAGGGTACAGATAATAGACAAAATGACAATGAT